AGGAAACAGGCCCAGATATACACAGAAACTTGGAAAGTTTGAGACATAAGGATACTACAAATCAGTGGGGAAAGAACAGACTATTCAAAAAATGGTTCTGAGACCATTGGTTCTCCATTTCAGTTGCAGACAAATTAAGATCTTTTTTTCTTTTTCAAATTAACATCTTAAAAGAGACTAACCCCTTATCAGATACATGCTTTGCAAACATTTTTTCCCCATTTTATAGTTCCCTTTTCACTCTTGTTTCCTTTGCTATGCAGGAAGCACTTTAGTTTGATACAACCCCATGTATTTATTTTTGCTTCTGTTGCCTGTGTTTTGGATGTCATTTCCAAAAATTCATTGCCAATACCGAGAAGCTTTTTCCCTGTGTTTTCTTCTGGCAGTTATATGGTTTCAGGTCTCATGTTTAAGTTTTTTAATCCATTTGGGTTTGATTTGGGGTGTGAGATTCTTCAAGTGGATATCCAATTTTCTCAGCATGATTATTGAGGAGATAGATTGTCCTTTCCCTATTGTGTGTTCTTGGCATCCTTATTCAAGATCAGGTGACTGTAAATGCATGGGTTTATTTCTGGGCTCACTGTTCTGTTTCATTGGTTTACATGTCTGTTTTTTATGCCAGTACTTTACTGTTTTAATCTAGTTTGAAATCAGCAAGTGTGATGCTTCCAGCTTTGTTCTTTCAGAGAATTGCTTTGGGTTTTCAGGTTCTTTTGTGATTCCATGTGAAGTCAGGATTGTTTTTTCTATTTCTGTAAAGACTGCCATTCAGTTTTGCGAGCTTGCATTGACTCTATGGATCAATTTGGTAGTATGGACATTTTAACAATATTAATTCTTCTAATCCATGAACATGGGATGTCTTTCCATTTATCTGTGTCTTCTTCATCAGTGTTTAATACTTTATAAAGAAGTAATATCCAAAACGTATAAGGAATTCATACAACTCAATACTGAACAAAGCAAATAACCCAATTAAAAATGGGGCAAAGGACCTAAGTAGATGTTTCTCAAAATAAATACAAATGGCAAACAAGTGTATGAAAGGTGCCCGACATCACTAATGATGACCAATAATCAGGGACATGCAACCAAAACCACAATAATATATCATCATACATCTGTCAAAATGGCTGTTATCAAAAAAGACAAAAGATAAAAAGTGTTCATGAGGATGTGAGAGAAAAGAGAACCCTTCTACACTGTTGCTGGAATGTAAATTGGTACAGCCATCATGGAAGCAATATGGAGATTCTCTCCCAAATTAACTACCGTATGATTCAGCAATCCCACTTCTAGGTATATGTCCCAAGGAAACAGAATCAGTATCTCAGAGAAATATCTGCATCCCCATGTTCACTGCAGCAATATTCACATTAGCCAAAGATACAGAAACAACCTAAATGTCCAAAAATGGATGACCGTATAGAGAATATGTACATGTATACATACACACATGCACACACTCAAAATGGAATATTAATCTGCCTTTAAAAAGAAGGAAATTTGGGGGGTGCCTGGATGGCTCAGTTTGTTAAGCTTCCAACTCTTGGTTTGGGCTCAGGTTATGATCTCACGGTTCATGGTTAGTGAGGAGCCTGTTTAGGATTCTCTCTCTCCCCCTCTCTCTGCCCCTGCCCACTGGCACAGTCTCTTTCTCAAAATGAATAAATAATAAATGAAAAGGAAAATTTATCATTTGCAACAACACAGATAAAACTAGAGGACGTTATGCTAAGAGAAATAAGCCAGACATGGAAAAGCAAATACTGCATTTCCACTTCTATGTGGAATGTAAAACAGGCTCTTCGAAGCAGAGAGTGAAATGGTAATTTCTAGGGATGGGGTGGAGGGCCACGTGAGGAGATGCAGATCAGAGGTGCAAAGTCTCAGTTATGCAGGATGGGTAAGTTCTGCAGGTCTAATGTGTGGCATGGTGACTGCATCTAATTGTGTATTGTGTACCTGAAATTTGCTATGAGGGTAGACCTTAAGTGTACTCACTACACAGAGCAAGCAAGCAAGGAAAAAAGAAAAAGGAAGAAAGAAAGAAAATGGCAACCTTGTGAGGAGATGGATATTTTAATGTTTATTTTTGAGAGCGAGAGAGCCTGAGCAGGGGAGGGGCAGAGCGAGGGGAGACAGAGGATCCAAAGCGGCCTCTGCGCTGACAGCAGCAAGCCCAATTCAGAGCTTGAACTCAGGAACCGTGAGATCATGGCCTGAGCCAAAGTCAAACACTCAACTGATTGAGCCACCCAGGCGCTCTGAACATGGATATGTTTGATTGCAGTGATCATTGAACAATGTATATGTATATCGAAACACCAAGTTTTACACCTTAAATATATGTAATTTCTGTTTGTCACTTATACCTCAGTAAAGTTGAAAAATTATTTTAAGTGAAAGGCTAACATAGCAACATTTTTCTAGGTATGTCTCCTGAGGCAAGGGAAATAAAAACAGAAACTCTTTGGACTACATCAAAATTAAAAGCTTCTGCACAGCAAAGGAAACAGTCCACAAAACTAAAAGGCAGCCTGCTGAATGAGAAAGGATATTTGCAAATGACATATCCATTAAAGGGTTAGTATTCAAAATATATAAAGAACTGATACAACTCAAACCCAAAAAACAATCCAATTAAAAAATGAGCAGAGACATGAACAGATGTTTCTTCAAAGAAGACATCCAGATGGCCAACGGACACATGAAAAGATGCTCAATACCACTCGTCACCAGGGAAATGCAAATCAAAACTACAATGAGATACCACCTCACACCTTTAGTCAGAATGGCTAAAATAAAAAACACAAGAAACAACAAGTGGTGGTGAGGATGTGGAGAAAAAGGAACCCTTTTGCACCGTTGGTAGAAAGGCAAACTGGTGCAGTCACTCTGGAAAATGATATGGAGGTTCCTCAAAAGGTGAGAAGTAGAACTGCCCTACAATCCAGTAATTGCATTACTGGATATTTACCCAAGGACTACAAAAATACTAATTCAAAGGGCTACATCACCCTGATGTTTATAGCAGCATTATTTACAATAGCCAAATGATGGAAGCAGCCAAAGCATCCATCTATGGATGAATGGATAAAGACGATATGGTGTGTATGTTTATATGTATATAAACATAACGTGTATATATACATATATAGGTATATATGTATATATAACGTGTATATATACATATGTAGGTATATATGTATATATACATACAATGAGTTATCATTCAGCCATAAGAAAGAACGAAATCCTACTGTTTGCAACATGGGTGGAGCTCGATAGTACAATGCTAAGCAAAATAAGTCACCCAGAGAAAGGCAAATAAATACTGTATGATTTCACTCATATGTGGAATTTAAAAAACAAAAAAAAAAATGAGCAAAGGGGAAGAAAAGACAAAACAACCAAGAGACTCCTAACTACAAACAGATGGTCACCAGAAGGGAGGTGGGTGGAGGATGGGGAAATAGGTGATGCGGTTAAGGATGCACTTGCGATGAGCACTGGGCATTGTATGGAAGCAATCACTAAATCGTACACCTGAAACTAATAGAACGTTGTGTTAACTGGAATTAAAATTTAAAAAAAATGGAAAGGCTAAACCTTAGTCAAGGTAAGGATAGGATAATATTTTTATAACCTCATGATGCCAACAGTATTAATTATGAAGTTTGTTTTTCATTTCTGCCATAACAAATTACCATAAAGTTGGCGGCTTATGAACAATAGCCATCTTTACTCTCACAGTACAGAAGTCTATGGGCTTCTTTTTAGAGGCTCACCAGGCTGAAATCAAGATGTTAGCAGGGCCACATTCCTTCTGGAAGCTCTGGGGATGAATCCTCTCCCATGCTCATTCATGTTTTTGGCAGAATTTGGCTCCTTGCAATTCTAGGTCCAAAATCTGTCTTGTTGCTGGCTGTCCCTGAGAGTTGTTTGAGGCCATGCCCTCACTTTGTGCTCTGCAGGTGGCCTCTGTGGCAGGGGCAGGTTGAGGCTCTCCCACACTTCAAATCGTTCCTGCTTCTGCTGCACTCCTCTGAGTCCACTTGGAGAACGATCTCAGCTTTTAAGGGCTCGTGTGATTAGACTGGATCCGCCTGAATAATCCAGCATAAACTCCCTATTTCGAGGTCTGTGACTTCTGCAAAGCCTCTTTTGCCATGTAATACAACGTATTCACAGGTTCCAGGGATTGGGGCATGAACAACATGGGAGACATTCTACCTAGTACAGAGTTGGATAAAATCTTCTCAATTAAGAAATACATGTGAATGAAGTTAAGAAGAACGTAAGTTGTGCGCATAAACAAACTTTTTTAAATCAAGGCAATGACAAAGGCTGCAGGACAATGGTTACTCTCAGAGGCAAGTATGAAGAAGGCGGTAAGAGCAGGACACCAGGAGAATATAAAGCTATGGGTGATGTTCCACGTCATAGATTATGCAGTGATACACAAATATTTATTCATTGTCTTTTTAAAGTTGTACATCTACGTTATATGCATGCATGAATCACAGCAGAATTACAGTGTTTAAAAACCTACAAAAGAATTTGACTATATAATTCCACAACAGGATTAATGACCTCAGTTCTTTTCTACTCACAAATTCATGAGTAAGAGCAAAGAAGGAAGAGAAACAAAAAATGATAGGCAGTGGAAGATGAACAGAGCAACAGGATGAAAACCAAAATATCCAACTCACATTGTGAGGGGAAGTTACAGTTACTGCTCTCCTTCCTTCCAGAGACTAGAGAGAAAATGGCTCTTTTCTTCAGAAAGTGGGGGTTCAAATGAGGGAGAAATCCTGCTGACCTACAGCTGCCTCATTCTTGAATGGTTTTAGTGCCACGGTCATGATGAAGTCACTAAATGTCTGGAATCAAGGACTATAGAATTCTGAGACCAATGGTGTCAGAAGTTAAGTGTCAGTGAAGCAACAACAATGAAAGAAAGAAAGTTCACTTATTTTGTTTGTCATTTGTTGGGACTCTGATGGCAAATGCTTTGGATGCTTTGAGAATTATTTCAGTGATCTCTCTGGAAGATTGCCATGGGTTGCCTCCATCTGCCTTACCTTACGTACCCAGTCTACATACCGAGGCTACTACAGGACAACCATGACCATGGTCTGGAAATCATCTAGAGCAAATCATAGTAATCCAGGCTTTTCCTAAAGTACTTACATCCTGATGAAGTCTGAAATATTCTCATCCTCGTTAGTAACTTGATATTTGAACTTACTTCCCACAGAATTTTATGTGAACATAGTCACTCTTTTCTAAAAAGAAAAGTGTTAATATACTAAGTTAACCTATGCTTTCATTTAAAAAAAATATGCCGTAAACCACTCCAGTGATGATAAATCATTCCACTGCTAAGCATAAGAGAACCACTTTCCCTTTAAACCAGGGATAGAAAAAGCAGAGTTGGGACAGACAGTGGTCAACTTTTCTTTCATCTGTACTCAAGCATAGCCTCACTACGTTGGGAAGAATTCAGTTGACTATTTCCAAGGAAAACTTACTGGGATTCAATTTTCTCCTTAATTTTCTTTGCAACATTTGTAAAAGGAAGAGGAACTCTACTTTAAGTTCATTGCTGAGCGTGTTGGGATTGCTTTTTATCTCTGATGACCTAATGTTATCTTTAATCGACTTGGAAGCTGTGGAGCTAGGAACCAGGGGCAGACGCATCTGGTAACTGTAGTCTGTGAAATTCACGAGGTCATCCTGGATACTTTTAATTCTGGAAAGAAAAAAATATTGTTGACAAGCCATATTTTAGTAATGAGATTTATATTATCAAATTTTCATTTTAAGTTGTATCGCTAGAAGATTCCAAATGACTTACTCTCGATGCGTTAGCAAAGTATAAACCTCTTGTATTAGTATTTCAGGTACTCCAGCTTTGCAATGAATTGTTCCATGGATTAGCTCTTTAGGTAATTTAAGTCTTTTTCTTGCCAGGAACTTTAATAGTAGAAAGAAGGTATTTTCATTATAAGAAGTTACGTAAAAATCTTCAATTACTTTGTATTCACCTTAACCCCCTTTTTTTTGTCTGTCAACTAATAGTTTTTAATTTTAACATGTTAATTATTAAAAAATATCGTTCAGCAAGAAAAGCAACCATTCTATCCTACTCCAATTTGAAATGAGTTTCATAAGTGACTCCTGACAAACTTTAATAACATTCATTTTAATACACGGAAACAAGCTGCCAGCTTCGTGGCACAGCCACACGCACGTGTGTGTAGATATCCACGACATCAGGAGTACACCATTTAAAACACAAACTTCTTAAAGTCGATGACTGCTAATTTACCTTCTCCAACTGTGCCCAGTTATCCAACTTGACTTTCAAAGAAGTTCCATTTTCAAAGGATGACAATTTAAGGTCCCTGGGGTAATATATAGTGAATATTTCTGCAATCAGGAAGCCATTTGAAAAATCCCTGATCCATAATATTAAAGAAATGAAATAAAATGTGGTTACTTTTACAGTTTGTTTTATAATCAATTAACACCAATTTAATATTCCACACTGACAGCAAATAACTTATAAAATTAGTTTTGTTGGATCATTGCTCTAAGGAAGACCTGCTATGGAATAGAATTTTAATAAGATTAGATACACACTAAAGGCTTTCATGTTCTTTTTATGAACCCAAACTATTAATTTGTACTGAATCTTCATTTTAACAAGATCCCTAGGTGATTCCGATGCACATTGAAAATTTCAGGCATGTCTCTATTAAGGAATATTGAAATTAGTAAACCAGAGTCTGCAAAAAAGTCATCGTCTTCATATTTATGGAAATTAGTTCGCATTCCCAGAGCAGATATTAACCGCCCGTTACGTTCAGGGTGGCTGCAGCTCAGCAGCAACTTTTTTCCAGTCCCTGATTGGAAAAACTAGATGCCATCCAGAGGATAAACTGATCCCCACGATTATTAATGTCCGGTGTCTCTAAAGAAAGAGCCTTGACTATCAGTATTTTTTTGTAGTCACCGAGGCATTCTGTTTTAGCTTAAATCTAAAATGTGATGATTGAATGGGTAAATGAATAAGTGAGTGCTTCATCATGTATTTTCCAGGCCCGCTCCCTAAAGGAAGGGGTGTAGTGCGTGCGCGGAAGAGGCGCCGCGCGCTGGTGTAAATGGGGTCTGAAACCTAAACCAGGGGAGTAGGCCGTCTGCGCCCAGTGCCGCGGCGGGGCAGGCGGGGCAGCCGAGGTTTGGCGCATGGTCCCAAGCTCGTGGCCTCTCTGTCTAGGTGGCTCCCACCTGTTGACGTTCCTAGGAAAGAAGGTGAGATCCAGGCCCTGGAGCCAGCGCAGAACCGACGGGGACAGGCGGGAGCTCTTCGGTGGATGCGGATAGACCAGATATTTCTTAGGCTTCCCTCGGATGGGAGCTGCTGCCTGTAGCGAAAGTGACGGTGACTTGGGTAGGGCTGCCGCCGGTAGTGTCAAAAGCCTTCCTCCCAGGCCGGCGGCAGCCATGTCGCTTTCTGGGTTTCTATGGCAGCATCCGCGGCGGGGCGGGGCCTCGTGGGGGCGGGGTCTCCGCGCAGCTGGGCGGGGCCCGTGGGTGGGCGGGGCTTCGGCGGGGGGGGCGGGCGCTGGGCCTGGCGCGATCTCCAGTTTGCAGAGCTGAGGCTCTGGTCTGGGGCGATTCCTGGCCCCAGTCTTGGTTGTAGTTAGCCTCTCTTCTCCCAACCCTTTGTCCTTCCAAATTTACTTTTTAGATATTGTGGATTCAGCCCAGCCAAAGGCCTATTGTCGGTCAAACATTTTGAGGATGGGAGAAGCTTCCAGAAGACAAGGTCAGTTTTTGTTTAGAAATCGGAAATGGTATAGTATTTGCTCCAAAACGCCAAAGAAAAAATTTTCCAAATTAAAGTGAATAAATGTCTAATATCTACAGATTTAACCTCTTTCCTTAATTATTATGTTGTTTATAAAAATTTGTAAGTTTTCCCATTTCACAAGGATGCCCTGGTATAGATGATTCATTCATTCAACAATTATTTGAGTCCCTAGTATGTGCCAGGCACTGACCTAGTTACCTGGGATTTATCAGTGAACAATGCAGAGGGGAAAAAAGCGTAGCATCGACAGTTATAAACTAAATACGCAACAGATTTGTTAAAATCCTTCAAAAAGTTTTGCAAAAAAACATCAGTGTGGCATGTAGATACATATTATGCAAGATAAAATATGGGATAGAGTTTGATAGTGAAGCTATATAATGTTTTGTGGCATGTTTATTCATATAGAGATTTATTAATAAAGCAAACCATGGGACGCCTGGGTGGCTCAGTTAAGCCTGGGACTTTGGCTCAGGTCATGATCTCGAGGTTCGTGGGTACGAGTCCCAAGTTGGGCTCTGTGCTGACAGCTCCGAGCCTGGAGCCTCTTTGGATTCTGTGTCTCCTCCTCTCTGCTTCTCCCTGCTCTGTCTCTCTCTCCCTCTCTCTTAAAAATAAATAAACATTAGGGGCACCTGGGTGGCTCAGCCGGTTAAGCATCCGACTTCAGCTCAGGTCATGATCTCACAGTTCATGCGTTTGAGCCCTGCATCAGGCTCTGTGCTGACAGCTCAGAGCTCAGAGCCTCGTTCGGATTCTTTATCTCCCTCTCTCTCTGCGCCTCCCCCGCTAATGCTCTGTCTCTCTCTCCTTCAAACACAAATAAAAAGCATTAATAAATAAATAAACATTAGAAAATTAATAATAAAGTCAGTGTGAGTCTGTATATGGTTTGAAAGAGAAGAACGAAGCTATGGAAGTATTTTCTCTTTGCCCAGTGAAGTTTTTCACGAATGACTAACTGTTCTGTCCTGTGTTACTCCATCTTCACAATCCAATATGGTGGCCCCTAGCCACCTGTGGCTATTTATATATAAATTTAAATAAAATAGAATAACATGAGTGACACTTGCTGTGTTTCATCTGTTCAATACCCACGTGTGGCTGCTGGCTGCCCATGTTGGACAGCACAGATACAATGCTGTCACCGCAGGGGGTTCTATTAGGCAGCTGGGCACTAGATTATTTATAGAAGGTGCACAGATATAAATACCAGTGAAAAGATCATGTACACTGAAAAGCTCCGCCATGGTAAAAATATATCAGGGAGGAAGCATGTAATTTGGATTGAGGGACTCTAGGAGTCTTTTCAGAGAAGGTGACATTTGATCTGGATTTTATGAGGCGATATTTTAAATTGTTTATGACAGGCATTGGAGGACCAGCTCTACTTTTTATTAGTTATGTGAGTTTGGGCAAGTTGTAAAATGTTTAAAAGGTGGAAATAAATAAGTTATACCCCACAGGGTTGTGTTAATGATTAAATAAAGTTAAATATGCAAAGAGCCTAGAAGGGTGTGCAGTACATAGTAAGATCTCAGTAAGAATAAGTTGTTTCTAAGACGATCATGGAAATCTGTGGGATGGGGGGGATGGGGACAATTCCACCCGGAATGACTAATGTGAACAAAAGTACAGATGATATAATCTGTGATATGTGAGGATTTTTAAGTTAAGTTTATTTATTTATTTTGAGAGAGAAAGCACAGGGGAGGGCAGAGAGAGGGAGGGAAAGAGAGAATCCCAAGCAGGCTCCACACTGGCTCAAACACAGGGCTCAAACCCACAAACCATGAGATCATGACCTGAGCCAAAATCAAGAGTCCGAGGCTTAACCGACTGAGCCACCCAGGCGTCCCGATATGTGAGTTTTTTATGAGTTTTGGGAAATAACGAAGTCATTAGGGTTAGAGAAAGAGTTTAGGTTTTAGCATGAGTGCTAACCCAAGATTTAGGTGGTAACAGCTAAGGAGCTAGATTAGGGCTACGGACTGGGGCTTAATTGAGCAAAGTTTTGCTAAGGGTTAAAGCCTTCCCATAATAAATGTTCTAGTTGATAAGCAGATACATCTCTGTTTCAAACACATTCTATATTTAGCCCGTCTTACCACCACAATGTGATTTCTCCTTTGCTGAAAGCTTTATTAAACTTTGCCAATAGGGGGAGCTAGAGGGAGGCCAGGAAGGAAAGGGAGGGGAAAAGGCGCTTGCTGTTTCCACATGAATTTGCAGGGGTGTTGCCGCAGCAACAAAGCATAACCTGGCAGGGGCAGGTGGTTGGATCTCCAACTTTCTTTGGCTCTCCTGGAGCAGATTTCATCTTAATGGTTCAGACGTTTACCAAGCCCTGAGAAGCGGCCCTCCTTAAAGAGTCCCGGATTTTACTCTGAGCTTCCGAAGCCTTGGCTCCAGCTGTGTACTCTCACCCTGCAAAAAGTCAGTCCATAGAAGTTTCCCTTCGAGTTCTCGGCTCTTACAGCCCGCACTTCTTAACTGTGTTCTCTAGCACGAGCAATTGCTTCCTGAATCGTCTATTTCTGTTAATTTGATGGCCCCATTTTAGTTTTTCAGTTCGCCGGCATCTGTTTAACCACTTCCTTAGATTAAGTTCTTGTTTAAATTGTGTAGTTACTTCCGTCTTCCCGACTGGATGCTGAGGGATCCGTTGCTTTATAGGTGGAGTGAGGTTTCCCTTTTCCACTAGTTGACCTGCTTCTTACTAAGGCGTCAAGATCCAGGTCCAGTCAGCATGGCATCATCCGTAGAGTGCACACGTGATGTTCTGTGGAACGTGAAGACGCTTAGAAACCTTGGCTCATCTTCCGGCAGAAAGCACGAAAACGGATTTGACCCTACGGCAAGATCGTGAGCGTGCATTATGGGTCCTGATAAATAAAAGCAAACTACTTTTGGTGGTTCTTGCAGATTGTGACAGAGGGGAAAGGTACTTTCCAGATGGGTAATGGCGTCACAGTTGCTAGGACTGTGGTGATTTATTCCAGTAAAGAGATGTCAAATGGTGGGGGGGGGGGAATGGCTATAATTGGAGTTACTGCCTGATGAAGTTTGCATTAATCCACAATCACCCTGTAAGATCCACCGAAGTTTTGTACCAGCCAGATAGCCATCAAAGTCGGTGGTGGTTTTTGATGGATCGCCTGCCGAGAGAAAATTCAGAGAGCTTTACTTCACAAGGATGTTTTGCTGAACAAGGAGCAAACCGTTCTCAAACGGAGATTACTTGCAACTCAAAGGGGAGGAGTAATTTTGTAGCCAGTGCGTGCCCGTATACAGCAATGACAGGATAGCAGGCGGAGCTTTCCAGGCAGAGGAACAGCAGGGGCAGGGGCAAGGAGGCAAGAGTACTTGAGGGAGAATCAAGTGTGCTTTCTGACTTTCCCACTGGGAGCTTCCCTGTAAAAGGCCCTTTGTGACGCAAACACTCGTTCCTCTGACACAGGAGTGTTCCTGGGGGCACACCCTGGCCAGTGAACACTCCCGCTGAAAAGTGGGTTTCACAGAATCTTTTGGAATTCAGATGCTACCCCAGAAAGAATGGGGAGGGAAGAAAAAAGACTGGCATTAACAGGCTCCATCTGAAGAGTGTAGCTGAGAGACTGAGAAAGCACTGAATTGAATGAGTTTACCCCAAAGTGGCCAGATTTCACTGGGTGAAACGGAAGCTCGCGATAAACGTGAAGTCCTACAAGAAGAATAAAGTTGGCTTTTATACGCCTGAATATGTGCTTTGTAAAATTTGTATCTATAAGGTAAGCCTCTTAGACACCAAAAATGTTTTGAAAAATGTATCTGAGGGGTGCCTACATGGCTCAGTCGGTTAAGCGTCTGACTTTGGCTCAGGTCATGATCTCACAGTGCCTGAGATTGAGCCCACATCACGCTCTGTACTGATAGCTCAGAGCCTGGAGCTTGCTGCAGCTTGTGTCTCCCTCACTCTCTCTCTCAAAAATAAATAAGCATTAAAAAAAATGTATCTGAATTTCAAAAGTTACTTATTAAAAGACTCCTTGAATTTGAGCATACTACTTAAAATGGGAAGATACCTATCATTTAAAAAAGGAGAAAACTGAGACCTCGAGAGCTGAAGTGAATTGTTTAAGGTCCTAGAGCAGATGGAGGGGTAGTAACTCAATTTTTTTTCCTTTTTTTTATTAAAAAAATTTTTTTAATGTTTATTTCAGAGACACAGCATGAGTGGGGGAGGGGCAGGGAGATAGGGAGACACAGAATCAGAAGCAGGTTCCAGGCTCTGAGCTGTCGGCACAGAGCCTGACGCGGGGCTCGAACTCAAAAACCGTGAGATCATGACCTGAGCTGAAGTCGGTTGCTCAGCCGACTGAGCCACCCAGGCTCCCCTTTTTTCCTTTTTTAAAAAATGTTTATTTATTTATTTTGAGAAGAGGGAGCATGCATGAGTAGGAGAGAGAGAGAGAGAGAGAGAGAATGCTAAGCAGACTCTGCACTGTCAGCACAGAGCCGGATGTGGGGCTCAATCCCATGAACCGTTGAGATCATGACCTGAACCAAAATCAGGAGTCTGACACTTAACCAACTGAGCCACCCAGGTGCCCTACACCTGAATTTTCTGAATAAATGTCCTGCCACCAACACTGAAAAATCTGATAACGATTGTTTAGGTTTTTAAGAGAGAAGGCAGGCCTTAAACTAATTATAAATGATAGTTAGAATAAGAAAGTTGAAAAATTAGAGTAAAAAAGTGAGACTAATCCGGGAGAGAGAATAATTTATAAAGTTATTTTGTAAACAGATAGCCACAGTCACTTGGGTTCAAGACCATCACAGAGCAATGAACACAGTACACTCAGACCTTCTTTTCCAAAGGGGCCATGTTTCACATAGTGTCTCTGTTCACTTCCTCGGAAACATCAAATATACTTTGTGGCTAAAACAAGAGTAGAAATTAAATACCTTTTCCTACAAAATAAATGTTTCAGCAGTGCCTTACTACAGTGATTAATTTCATGGTACTTTAATCTCATGTCAAATAGTTTGGTGTTGCTTGGTCTTTGCCTTTGTGGGATTTTGTCCTTAGATCTTTGTATGTGTGTGCGCGTGTGTGTGTGTGTGCGCACACAGTAAGATTTGGATTAGAAGGCCTTCAAAGTATCTGTTTCAGTCTGCACTACTCTCCTAATGCCCATAATACAGTGATTTGAAACTAGTGTTGAAAAAAATGAGGGCAACTGAATCTTATTCTCCATTACCTTCAATTATAAAACCAAATACTAATTAGAACAGAAAAAAAAAGTGTTTTATTCCAGTGATAATAGTCACACTTTAACATATTAACAAACACATGATACAGTTAAATTAGAACACTTCTTCGATAAGACAATCATACCCAAGCAAAGATAAAAGGTATCAGCATACTAAAATTTTAAAGTATCCGTTTTAATTTTAATATTGATGTGTACTTATTGGCACAAGCCCAGTGAAAAGGGACGGATTATATTACCTTACACCCTAAGCCTACATATGTCTAGCTCAGGGAAAATACTAGTCAACACCTGTTTTACTAAAAAAGCAGTCTGAATACCCAATTATATGTAATGAGGTTACTCTATAATTAAACAATTAAATGCACATTATTCATGAGGACATTATAAATTTGTTAGGCTGAGCTATTTAGTAGAATAGCCTCATTTAAAAGTCTCTAGGCACACAGAAGACATTTTTTTAACACACATGCTACAGCCTTATTTCTATTTTTGAAAATCTAAACACGACTTAACGACGTGATCTTAGTGACTTTGGGGTTACATTCAAGAATAGTTTATTTCCCATAGGTATCCAAAATTCAGCCAAGAACCGAGAAGAAAGGAAAAAATAGGCCCCTGGGCTTATTATTAAAATAGTGGTCAAAACACTTTATCAAACTTTGATAAATTTATAAAACTCATCAAAACATTTTCTACGTTACACTATAGTAAGTATCCTATCTTATTTCTCAGTCCACAATAGACTCAAACTTAGTCTAAATTACAAAGAAGACACAGTTTGTTTTATTATGTTTTATACCACGCTAAAGTATGTTTAAGGCAGAAGAAAATAAACACAGTAATAACCTTGCCGAAGACACTACTTTGTAATGCTATATACCCTCTTGCTAACACGGTCTAAGCCTCAACCGTTGCTTTGCAGAAGAAGGATTGGAAACAGCACTAGTAGGGTGTATGTATGGGGTAAATTTTGTAAGGTGTCTAAGTTTGCTAACTGGCGCAGCCTTTTTCTTTTCTTTGCACACCCCACAATCGAAGGAGATTTTATCTTCTGTTTTCCACAGCCTTGGACTTCCCTGATTCCTGAAGCATGGCCCAGGAAGGGCCTCTTTCGCAACTGGGTATGAAGTTCATGGTCTTCAGTCTGCAGGTACCACCAGCTAGTGACAGTTTCTGGATGGAAGAAGGCTGGAGTGCTTCGTACAAAAGCACTGTAGAGAGGCCTTATGAGGCTACCCTGGAGAAGGAGGAAGTCTTAAAATAGTCTTAGCAAAGGTGTAAGGTTCCAACCATCCCAGGAAGAGATGGAAGGAGCCATAACCTTAGTCCAACCCGTTTCTGGAATGGGGACATTTAAGGTGGCAAAGTGACTAGTGAGATCTTTGCAGGGAGGGGGCAGTTTATCTTTTCTTGATGAACTGATGATTATAATGACAAGTGCACATTCGACGCGGCGGGTTTCGTGAATGACAGCCATCTTTATTTCAAAAAGGGTAGTAGTTCTTTTCTAAACCATACTTGTATTTTGCATTAATATAAAAAATCCACAGAGATCACCAATTACAGCAGCTAAAATTTAAAAGTTAATGCATTATTGGCAGAATGGAGGCCTTTTAAAGTACGTAGTTTCAGTAAGAGTTCACATTTTTTTTCATAAAAAGAAACATTGAAATGAAAATTTCTCTTTTTTTCTACATCAAAAAGGGTACATGGGAATAGCTAACAATATATAGATATTTTAAATATGCTATAGTCCAAAAAAAAAAAACCAGTAAAAATGCATAAAACAGTAGTACTCACTAGTACACTTAAAATTTAAATTGACATTTCACTTCTTCCCCAGGGCCTCACAATCCCTTATATACTGTGTTTAGCATATTTTACTATGAAATATACACTATGCAGATGAGACAGAAATGTTTTGATTTCGCAAGTATTTAGCATTACTTCCCTGCCTTATCGGTACTGTAAGAAATTCTGCAACAACGTTGGCAGCTGGAGCTGGGGGATGAGGTGCAATCTCGGCCTCCCTATGTAGTTTCTGATACAGAGTCGGCAAAGTTGGCAAAGGCTGCTTGGAGTAGCTACAAAAGACAGGAAGGCATTTGTTAATTAAAATCCAAATGGATTTTTATATGTTGTAAGATGCACAAAACAAACCATAAGCTTCAGTGCTTTGAGGTAAATTAAATAGGGTAGTGCGACCGCTATGCTAGAGACATTTACATAAGCATTTCAGTGGCTTTTATTTATAAGCTCTTATTGTAATTGTGGTATATTCCATATGGGTTCTTTAAAACATTATAATCCTGAGGCTTATGAAATTGTTATTGCATGTAAAGCCTCAGAAATAAATTCTGCTTCTCAAAGAACATATAAATCAAAAGACCCAATAATGTTAGGCACTAAAGGGGGAAAGTTTTAAGTTGTATCTTTTTCTCAAATTAGGTCTACTAGTTAAGCCAAAACAAATTTTATTATAGTGTCTGAGCCATGCTTAAAAAATTCTGTTTTAAAATACCAAAAGTCTTGGGGAACCTGGGTGGCTCAGTCAGTTAGTTAAGCATCTGACTGTGGCTCACGACATGATCTCACAGCTCACGGGTTTGAGCCCCGTGTTGGGCTCTGTGCTCACAGCTCAGAGCCTGGAGCCTGCTTCAGATTCTGTGTCTCCCTCTCTCTCTCTCTCTCTCTGCCTCTCCCCTGCTCACATTCTATCTCTCTCTTTCTCTCAAAAAATAAACATTAACAATTTTTTTGAATAACAAAAGTCTTAGGTATGAAAGTATTTCCTGATTCTGTTTCTATAACATTATAGAAGCCATGTGCCCTTAGAAAAGGGGGCATGTTTCTAAATATTTATTACATTTTGCATATTGTCAAACAAACTGAATACATTTAACTTAACCAAACAAATACAGACTTTAGGTAAGATAAAAAAAAAAAGAAAATTGAGATCATTGCGCTATCTTCTTTACAGATAGAACCTAAGTTAAAAAATCATCTGCTTCAAAAAAATATTTTAAATGTTATGCCAGTATCATTTTACATGTCAACAAAAAGTCTTTACTTTGCATTGATTTCAGGCAAATGTATTTTTGTGGGTTTTTTTTTTCTTTTTGGTTGTTTTTTCTTTTATTTTTAGAGAGACAGCACAAGCTGGGGGTGGGGGCAGACGGAGAAAGAGAATGTTAACCAGGCTGCACCCTCAGCACAGAGCCCGATGCAGGGCTCTATCCCAAGACCCTGGGATCACGGCCTGAGCTGAAATCCAGAGTCAGAGGATCCACATACTGGCCACATAACTGGGCCACCCAGGCGCCCTGTGTTTTGAAGTGCCCACAAGTATTCCTACCTTCATGTTGAAGCAACAATCTTTCCACCAAACTGCTGGAAGTCGCTACATCTACAGGTCGAAGAAGCTCTGTATTTTTGGCATTGATATCCGCTCCAAATTCCAGCAGTAAGTTTACAACTTCCGTACTGGACTGCTGGGCAGCTGCATGCAGTGGGGTGTCCCAGTATTTGCCTTTTTGTACATCGGCACCTACGTGTAAATAAGGAATGATGAGAAATCTAAACAAAAACCCTTAGACCAGTCATTTACCTCGATGCACGCAGAAAAGGGTGATGCCAAATGGACCTCACCTCTGTCTGTAATGAGTTATTCCCCCCCCCTTACACACACACACTTCAAATGTACACATTAAAACTTGACACACATAGATGGAGAGTTCACGTTTGTTATGTTCTCTAATATTTTTCTCTACGCTTGAAAGAGCCCATAATACAAAATATTTTTAAATGCTTTAAAGCCCCCAAAGTAATCATATTAACTGGTATTACAAATAGAGCATGATGAGGCCCACTCATACCTGTTTTCATCATGATTGAGATTCCTTAGGATTATTCAAGAGTTTATTGCTCATATTCTTTTCATTTATTTTAAAGCAATAGAGCTCTTCGTGTTTCCTGGAAAACTCATGAATCTAGACGTGTGAGCTGTTTGGGGAAAATGTGTGCGGACTTCCTGTCACTTCTCTCTCATACAATGTAAGTCGATAAACATATAAAGGCATTGAGCCTCTTAAGTAGAAAGGCACATTGTATCTCCATGTGCAAAGTAAATTTTTTAAAAATCTTACATTAAAAAAAAAAACACCACCCTACCTATTAAATTATTTATTGCTTAGTTATTTTATCTGAGTACGAGTCATGGCACATGATGATCATTCAATACATGTGCAATGAATCAATACTGTGTAATACTGGAAAGAGCAATCTCATTTCCCAGTACCTAAGTGGTTATGACACCAAGAAATACCTATCGGTAAACATGTGTAAGTCCCTTTCAACTCTGCTTTCCGATACTATCAATAAAATGAACGATGTTTACGAGAAGCAGTACGTTTTAAGGGTCCCTTTAGGCCTTCCTGCTACTTTCACATTTCAATAAATGTAATTGTTTTCATATTCTTTCATCAAATACACAATGTTTAGTGAAAGAATGACAGTCCATGACAAAATCTCCATGGAGAAAGCATAAACTCTATTGGTCATGTTAGTTTTATGGGAGGACAGAGCCTGATAATAACAATCAGTCCACAATTACCAACAGCATTCTCTTTCTTACCCAATATAAAATGTCTGGTGGAAATAATAATATTCCTAGCAAAGTAAAAGAAAAGAAAAGAGAAGAAAAGAGGCAACAAAGAAGAAACTCTTCTAGTTCTATAAATTCGTGGGCGATCACAGCCAGAAAATAATAGTGTCTCAACGGTTATTAGCAGAAGTCATATTTAAGACTTAACAGATATGACGGGAGTGAACTAACGAAGCAGAAACTGCCTGCAAGAAGCTTATAATTTAGCTAAGATATTGTGAGTGTATCAGAGGCCAAATGATGGCAGAAACAGTAAAAAGCATGGAAATCCTTTTACTCATTTTACGTGTATTTTCAGCACCTACCACGTGGGAGGCGCTGTGGTAGGGAAAGGAGATGATGGGGAAAAAGACATAATCCACATCCTCAAAAGCTCCTGTTCCTGGGGTGCCTGGGTGGCTCAGTTAGTTAAGCATCTGACTTCGGCTCGGGTCATGATCTCACAGTCTGCGAGTTCGAGCCCTGCATCGGGCTCTGTGCTGACAGCTGAGCCTGGAGCCTGCTTCAGATTCTGTGTCTCCCTCTCTCTGACCCTCCCCCGTTCATGCTCTGTCTCTGTCTCAAAAACAAATAAACATTAAGAAAAAAAAATTTTTTTTAAAAAGCTCCTGTTCCTATAGGGGGAGACACCATTATGGTATCAAAAGATTAGGACAAGTTTTCAGGAGGCTAACACTGAACGCTGAGGCATAGGTTTGTTTCAAGTTAGAAGAAAAGGCCGTTAAGTCTTTGTAGATAAATGGGACAGGACAAAGTCGGGGCGAGCACATGAGCTCTTATGATTGGTAGAAGACAAGGTAGCTAAGCAGTTATTACCCCTCAAATTCCTTGTGATGGATTTATTCATGAAGAAATACATATTTGGCAACACTATATCAACCTTGAGGTTTACGCTGTATGATCTTTACAAGGGGGACTTTAGGACTTGAGAGATAAAGCTTGTGAATTATCAAGAATGCAATTCCTTTTTTTATGGGTTATGTACTTACATGCAACAATGCTTAGAATAAGAACATTTTTAGCAGGGAGATATCTTTACACAGTTTATTCAGAGAGATAAATATGGATCTGAATCGTTGCTTATGTGTACGGACAGAACGAGAGAGGTTTTAAAGAAAATTACCAGCATAAAGAAGCTTCCGGATGCAGTGGAACTGCTGTGACATACAAGCTACGTACAGAGGAGTTCCCAGATGAGGAATGTCTTGGTCAACGTCTATGCCCCAGGATATCAGTATCTCTAGGCACTCGTGATGGCCTGCCAACACAAAGTAGAGAGGAGCTTACTCTCGACACTGCCCACCTCCATGCGCCTCACCTCATGCTGTTCCCTGCAGTTACTCATTGAAAGCAAAATGCAGCACTCCACGTTGCTAAAGGGACTTCCTCCCCTTGTCACCTAATCCCATAACTAAGTCACCTTTGCTGGCGGCCTCATGTGTGGGAGAAGGAAGACAGGACTCCAGCTGGGGTTTGGCACCGTATTCCAGAAGAAGTTCTGTACAGCTGGCACTGCCTTGTGAGCACGCATTGAATAATGGAGTCACGCCATCTATCGTGATTGCGTTTACCTAAACCAAGCCAGAGTTCAGCAACGAGAGTCACAGAGCCGTACGAGATTAAACGCTAGGCGTTTCAAACAGTTCTACGACCCAACAGAAATCACTGGGATAATGTGTGCAGTAAATATGACAGAGGATATTTAGCTCATACGCATCAACAAGCAAAGCTTTTTTTTTATGTATTTTTTTCAATATATGAAATTTATTGTCAAATTGGTTTCCATACAACACCCAGTGCTCATCCCAAATGGTGCCCTCACTCAATACCCATCACCCACCCTCCACCTCCCCCATGAACCCTCAAGGTTTGTTCTCAGTTTTTAAAGTCTCTTATGTGCCTCGCCTCTAACCTCTTTTTTTCCTTCCTCCCCCCATGGGTTTCTGTTAAGTTTCTCGGAGGATCCACATAGTGAAAACACATGGTACTCTGTCTTTCTCTGTATGGCTTTATTTGCATAGCACACCATCTCTCCAGTTCCATCCGCGTTGCACAAGGCATATCATGGTCATTCTTTCTCATTGCGCGTAGTACTCCCTGTGTATATAAACCACCAATTTCTTTTATCCATTCATCAGTTGATGGACATTTGAGGAACTCTTCCCATAATTTGGCTATTGTTGAGAGTGCTGTTATGAACATTGGGGACAGTGCCCCTAGGCATCATGTTACTCCTGGTGAACATGTAAATTCTACACGGTGCTACTGCTGTTTGGTCATAGAGGTGCTGAATCTGTTTTTTAGTTTTCTGAGGAGCCTCCACACTGCTTTCCAGAGCGGCTGCACCAATTAAGCAAAGCTTTTAAAAGTCAAGAGATAAACAGAAATGTGATGTGGTAGATGAGTCAGTCACAGGAGTGGCCATGCAGCTAGTAAAAGCCATGGAAATCAACACATGCTCGCGAGTCAAACAAAAAGGAATTCAACGGTCAGGTGCCTTTCAACTAGGAAAAAAGTCCAGAAATGTGATGGTGACAAACGTTGTGGTGAGGTCACCTTGCTGGTGGTAAATCAGAGAAATGGGAAATTGTGTTTCTGAGAATTTATCTAAAGAAAAACATCCTGGGGCGCCTGGGTGGCTCAGTCAGTTGAGTGTCCGACTTGGAAACACCAGTGGAGCAAGGAAGGGCCAGATGGTAGTTTGCAAAACTTGTCAGGCCAAATGACCTGAGTTCAAGTTCGGTCGGACTCAACTGACTGAGCCACCCAGTCAGTGGTCTCTGGCAGGCATGTACATTTTCAGGTTTTTGAATAAAATTCTCGAACACATTTCCATTTCTCTGATTTATCACCAGCAAGGTCTCACCACAACGCTTGTCACCATCACATTTCTGGACTTTTTTCCTAAGTTGAAGGCACACGACCGTGAATTCCTTTTTGTTTGACTGCAGAGCATGTGTTGGATTTCAACTGGCTTTTACTAGCTGCATGCTACACTCTTGTGACTGACTCATCTACCATCATCACATTTGCTTTTACTCTTTGACTTTTTAAAAGCTTTGCTTAATTAAATGCAGCCGCCTGGAGCAGTGTGAGTCTCAGAAAACTAAAAACAATTAGCACCTACCTATGACCAACAGCAGTAGCACACGTGTAGAATTCTAACTGGTCTCACAGTGAGATACATGATGCCTAGGGCACTGTCCTCAATGTTCATATAGCAGCACTCTCAACAATAGCCAAATTATGGGAAGAGTTCTCAAATGTCCATCAACTGATGAATGGATAAAAGAAATTGGGTGTTTATATACACAGCGGAGTACTACCGGCAATAGAAAGATGATCATGAAATATGGCCTTGTAGGCAACCGGGATGGAACTGGAGAGGATGGTGTGTATCGAAATAAAGCCATACAGAGAAAGACAAGATACCATGTGTTTTCACTATGTGATCCTGAGAAACTTAACAGAAACCCATGGGGGAGGGAAGGAAAAAAGAGGTTAGAGGCGAGAGACATAGAGACTTTAAAAACTGAGAACAAACTATTGAGGGTTCATGTGGAGGTGGGAGGGGGGTGATGGGTATTGAGATGAGGGCACTTTTGGGATGAGCACTGGGATTTTTTTGTTGCATGGAAACCAATTCAGTGTTGACAATAAATTTCATATATTGAAAAAAATACATAAAAAAAAAGCTTGTTTGTTGATGGATGATGCCAATATCCACTCTGTCATATTTACTGCACACATTATCCCAGTGATTCTTCTGTTGTCAGAACTGTTTGAAACTGCCAGCATTTAATCTCGGCACGAGCATCTGCATTGACTCTCGGTGCAGCTGAACTCCCTGGTCTTGGTTTAGGTAAACAAATCACGTCATTAGAGCGTGACTCATTATTCAAGCGTCGAATCTCACAAGGCAGTGCAGCTTCACACAGAACTTTTCTGGAATCTGGGTGCCAAACCCGCTGGAGTCCTGCTCCTTCTCCCCACACATGAGGGCCCCAGCAAGAGGACTGTTAAGTTAAGGGATTAGGGTGACAAGGGAGTGAAGTCCAGACAAACGCGGGAGTGCTGATTTTGTTTCAATGAGAACTGCAGGAACACATGAGGAGGCTTATTTGAGATTGATGGTGGGCAGTGTCGAGAAGATTAAGCTCTTACTTGTTGGCAGGCCATCACTTGAGTGCCCAGAGAAGTTGATATCTCTGGGCATGCATTGACCAAGACATTCTCATCTGGGAGCTATCTGTATGAAGCTTGTAGTCCACACAGTATTCCACTGCGTCATCCGAAGCTTCTTATCTTGGTAATTTTCTTTAAATTCTCTCGCTCTGGAATTATAAGTAGCTAGCAAGTAACGCATTCAGATCCATATTTATTCTCTGAATAAACTGTCCTGAAAGATATCTCCCTGCTAAAAATGTTCTTATTCTAAGCATTGTTGCATGTGTTAGTACATTTACCCATAAAAAAAAAGAATGTATTTCTCTTGATAATTCACAAGTCTATCTCTCTCAAGTCCTAAAGTCCCCTTGTAACAGATCATGCAGGCTATCCAAACCTCAAGGTTGCATTAGTGTGTTGCCAAATATGTATTTCCTTTCAATGAAAATCCATCACAAGGAATTTGCAGTGTATCAACTGGTTCCAGCTACCTGTTCTTCTACACAATCATAGGCTCATCTCAGCCTCACTTGTCCCTGTCCCATTTATCTCCACAAAGACTTAACGGCTTTTTCTATCCTTGAAACAAACCTATGCCTCAGCTGCCAGTGTTAGCCTCCTGAAAACTTGTCCCAATCTTTGGACTACCATAATGGTGTCTCCATAGGAACAGGAGCTTTTTAAAAAAAATTTTTTTTTCTTAATAAGTATTTGTTTTTGAGACAGAGACAGAGCATGAACGGGGAGGGTCAGAGAGAGGGAAGACATGGACTGAACAGCCAGGCTCAGTCTGTCAGCACAGAGCCCGACATTGCAGGGCTCGAACCCACTGCAGACATGTGAGATCATGACCCGAAGGCAGATCAGATGCTAACTAGCCAACTGTCAGGGCACCCCAGGAACAGGGAGGCTTTGAGGATGTGGGATTATGTCTTTTCCCCACATCTCATTCTCTACCACAGCGCCTCCCCGTAGGTGCTGAAAATCACACGTAAAAATGAGTGGATTTCCATGCTTTTTTACTGTTTCTGCCATCATTAATGTTCCTGATACCTCAATAATATTCCTAGCTAAATTATAAGCTTCATGCAGTTTGCGTTAGTCCAGTTCAATCTCCGGCAACTGTTAAGTCGATTAAATATGACTTCGCTAATAACCGCTGAGACACTATTATTTTCTGGCTGTGATCAGCCGCCCACGTAATTTATAGAACTGAAGGTTCTTCTTTGTTGCCTCTTTTCTTCTCTTTTTTTCTTTTACTTTGTGATATTATTTCCTGATTGACATTTTTTATATTGGTAAGAAAGAGAACTGTTGTAATTGGGACTGGATTGTATATTATCAGGCTCTGTCCTCCCATAAACCAACATGACCAATAGAGATTTATGCTTCCTCTCCATGGAGGATTTTTATTGACGTCATTCTTCACTCAAACATTGTGTATTTGATGAAAGTAATATGAAAACAATTACATTTACTCCATTGAATGTTGAAAGTAGCAGGAAGGCACTAAAGCGGACCACCACTGTTCTGCTTTTCAACCCCGTCAAAAGCATCGTATTATGATTCATCGAAAGCAGGGATGAAAGGGACTCCATATATCGTATTAGGTGCACATCTTAGTGTCATAACTCATCTTAGGTATACTGGGAAATGAGATCGTTCTTCCAGATACACAGTATATTCATTGCCAGATATGTGATCATGTGCCATGACTTCAGAAAAATAACTAACAATAAATAATTTAATAGTAGGTGGCTGTTTTTTTTTTAATGTAAGATTTAAAAAATTTACTTTGACATGGAGATACAATGTGCCTTTCTACTTAAGAGGTCTCAGCATGCCTTTATATGTTTATCACTTACATTGTATGAGAGAGAAGTGAAGTGAAGTCCCATCACGAGGTCGCATTTTCCCCAATCCAGCTCAATTTAGATTCCGGAGAGTTTTCCAGGAAAACACAGGAAAGCTCCTATTGCTTTAAAATAATGAAAAGAATATGAGCAATTTAAACTCTTGAATAACTCAAGAATTCAATCATGAGATGAAAACAGGCATGAGGTGACCTCATCATGCCTCTATCATGTAATACCAGTTAATACATTACTTTGGCTTTAAAGCATTTAAAATATTTTATAAGGGCTCCTTCGCCGCAGTAGAGAGAAAATATTAGAGAACTATAACAAACGGCTGAACTCTCCATCTATTGTGTCGTTTTAATGTGTACATTTGAAGTGTGTGTATGGGGGGACCATTACAGACAGAGGGAGGTCCATTTGGCACACCCTCCCTTTCATGCGGCTCATCACGAGGTAAATGACTGGATCTCAAGGGTTTTTTTTATGATTTCTCATCATTCTTATTTACACGAGGTGCCGATATGTACAAAAAGGCAGTCACTGGGACACCACTGCAATGCAGCTGCCCAGTAGTCCAGCACGAAGTAAACCATCGCTGGAATTTGGTGATATCAATGCCAAAAAACAGAGCTTCTTCGGTCAGATGTAAATACACTTCCAGCAGTTTGGTGGAAAGATTGTTGCTTCAACATGAAGGTAGGAATACTTGTGGGCACTTCAAAACACAGGGCTGCTCTGGGTGGCCCAGGCTATGTGGCTGCATGTGGATCCTTCTGACTTGATTTCCAGCTCAGGCCGGATCCCAGGGTCTTGGATAGAGCCCTGCATCGGGCTCTGAAAGAGGGTGCAGCTCGGAGCACATTCTTTTCTCCTGCCTGCCCCCACTTAGTTAGGCGCCAACTTCTCTAAAATAACCAAAGAAAACCCACAAAAATACATTTGCCTGAAATCAATGCAAAGAAGAGACTTTTGTTGACATGTAAAATGATACTGGCAATAACATTTAAAATATTTTTTGAAGCAGATGATTTTTAACTTAGTTCATCTGTAAAGAAGATAGCTATCGATTCACTTTTTTTTTTTTTTTTATCTTACCTAAAAGTCTGTATTTGTTTGTTGCTAAATGTATTCATTTGTTTGACAATACAAAATGTAATATTTAGAAACATGCCCTTCTAGCACATGGCTTCTATAATGTTATAGAACAGAATCAGAAATACTTTCATACCTAAGACTTTTTGTTATTCAAAAAAATTGTTAATGTTTATTTTTGAGAGAAAAAGAGAGATAGAATGTGAGCAGGGGAGGCAGAGAGAGAGGGAGACACAGAATTGAAGGTGCTCCAGGCTCTGAGCTGTGAGCACAGAGCCCAACACGGGCTCAAAACCTGTGAGTTGTGAGATCAAATGTCATGAGCCACAGTCAGATGCTTAACTAACTGACTGAGCCAACGTGTTCTAAGATCTTGGTATTTAAACAGAAATTTTTAAGCATGGCTCAGACACTATAATAAAATTTGTTTTGGCTTAACTATAGACCTTAACGAAAAGATACAACTTAAACTTTCCCCTTAAGTGCCAATCTTTTTGATTGTTCTTGAGAAGCAGAATTTACTGAGGCTTTACATGCAATAACAATTTCATATCTCAGATTGTTAATGTTTTAGAACCCATGGAATATACCACAATTACAATAGAGCTTATAAATAAAGTCAGAAATGTTTATAAATGTCTCTCATATTAGCGGTACGACTACCCTATTTAATCTCTACCTCAAAAGCACTGAAGCTTATGGTTTGTTTTGTGCATTCCATAAATATATAAAAATCCATTTGATTTAATTACTAAATGCCTTCCTTGCCTTTTGTAGTTACCCAAGCAGCCTTTTGCTAACTTTGCCGACTTGTATCGAAACTACATAGGAGGTCGATTGCACCATCCCCAGCTCCAGCTGCCCAAGTTGTTGCAGAATTTGCGTACTGATAAGTAGGGAAGTTAAATACTATGAAATCAAACATTTCTGTCTCATCTGCATAGTATATTTCATATATAAAATATGCTAAAACACAGTATATAAGGGATCAGAGGCCCTTGGGGAAGAAGTGAAATGTCAATTTAAATTTCCTATGTACTAGTGAGTACTACTGTTTTATGTATTTTTTTTTGACTATAGCATATTTAAAAATATCTATTGTTATTATTCCCATGTAAAATTTTTGATGTAGAAAAAAAGAGAAATTATTTCAATGTTTTTTTTTATGAAAAAAATGAATCCCACTTACTGAAACTACGCAGGTAAGGCCTCCATTCTGCCAATAATACTAACTTTAAATTTTAGCTGCTGTAATTGGTGATCTCTTGCTTTTTATATTAATGCAAATACAAGTATGGTTTAGAAAAGAACTACTACCCTTGAAATAAAGATGCATGTCATTCAATTTAAACCCGCCGGGCCGTTTGCCGAATGTGCACTTGTCATAGGAACCCCATCTGGAACCTCTGACCATTAATATTATC